AAGGAACTGTCGCAAAGACTGTTGCTACTGAAGGAACTCAACCAACATCAGCTGCAACCGAAGGAGTGACTGAAGGAACTGTGGCCAAGACTGTTGCTACTGAAGGAACTCAACCAACATCCGCTGCAACCGAAGGAGTGACTGAAGGAACTGTCGCCAAGACTGTTGCTACTGAAGGAACTCAACCAACATCCGCTGCAACCGAAGGAGTCACTGAAGGAACTGTGGCCAAGACTGTTGCTACTGACGGAACTCAACCAACATCAGCTGCAACCGAAGAAATGACTGAAGGAACTGTCGCCAAGACTATTGCTACTGAAGGAACTCAACCAACATCGGCTGCAACCGAAGAAGTGACTGAAGGAACTGTCGCCGAAACCGTTGCTACTGAAGGAACTCAACCAACATCACCTGCAACCGAAGGAGTCACTGAAGGAACTGCGGCCAAGACTGTTGCTACTGAAGGAACTCAACCAACATCAGCTGCAACCGAAGAAGTGACTGAGGGAACTGTCGCCAAGACTATTGCTACTGAAGGAACTCAACCAACATCAGCTGCAACCGAAGGAGTCACTGAAGGAACTGTCGCGAAGACTGTTGCTACTGAGGGAACTCAACCAACATCAGCTGCAACCGAAGGAGTCACTGAAGGAACTGTCGCCAAGACTGTTGCTACTGAAGGAACTCAACCAACATCAGCTGCAACGGAAGAAGTGACTGAAGGAACTGTCGCCAAGACTGTTGCTGCTGAAGGAACTCAACCAACATCAGCTGCAACCGAAGGAGTCACTGAAGGAACTGTCGCCAAGACTGTTGCTACTGAAGGAACTCAACCAACTTCAGCTGCAACGGCACCTGAGAGTAGGGAGGAAACAATCTCACTGAGTAGCAGTAGTACGCCGCAAATGCAGGAAACAACGATGAAAAAGTTCTGCGAACATATGGAGTACATAGAAACTTTAATTGCAAATAATGCTGTAACTACTTCTCCAGAAGACATCTCAAACAAAAATGATTTGATCTCACGTGGAGTGGACTTTGTTGACAAGAATCCTCGAATTATCGTTCATATACCAAAGGACGGTGCGATCATCCGGGATGTCAAAATTCCATCGACTAATCTCAATGAAGTTACTGTGATATTCACAACCATTTTAGGCGTTGTCGTTGGTCCCATACGGGGAAGTCCAACTGCGCTAGCAGCACACGAGTTTCCGACAGAAAGTGTCGCGCAAATCATCATCGACTTGACATCGACTATGCACAACAGTCCACCGAAGGGTGTGACTTTGTCAATTGTTGCTTGTGCTCCTGGTACAACAACAGTCATGACAGAAGGTAATATGGTTGCACTGTCTCACTTCTCTCAGGCACGGCGCATGGTTCAAAATAGAAATATTCATCTCTCGACTATAGGGACGGTGATATGGGATAAATTGCGTTTGACTCTGTGTCTATCTGTTTGTTTGAGGTCGAAAAACATATCAGGGGTTGGTTTATTTGTACGATTTTCGGTCTTTAGATGAAAGTTTCTTAAGGGTAATCGTGTTCATGGGATGCGGTTCGGAGGTTAAATTTTTTTGCAAATTTTAGTTGGATTGTGTGGTGGAGGAAAGGATATTGTGAGAAAATAGTGATACTCTGTAGAGGTTGGCGGAAGTAAATCGAGGTCGGCGATTCCGAATCGGAGGTTGGATTTTATAGCCGAAATTGAGGTTTGATGGGTAAGCAATCCATGAGAAATGAGCTTTTTTTTAAAGTTTTCTGCATCTTTTGAGGAAGCTTTACCGTATATTATCGAGGGCCATGATTCTAAATCTGCAATCAGATTTTGCATCGGGTCTTTTTATTGGCTAGAGAGCCGAGCAAATGAGAAACGAACTTCCATATTTAAAGCTTTCTGTACCTTTTGATGAAGCTTTGCTAGAGGTTATCGAGTTGCAGGATTACGGATCTGTGGTCGGATTTGATATCCTCGGTTTCCATTGGTTAGGAAGGCGACCAATGAGAAATAAGCTTTTTTTTTCTATGCTGTGTTTATCTTTTGTGATGAAACTTCAGTACAGGGAAGCGAGGGCAAGGATTCTGAATCTTCGATCAGATTTTGCATCCAGCCTTCTGATTGGCTATAAAGTGGACGAATCAGAAACGATCTTTTTGTCCCTTCGAGTAGAGGAAGAGTCATATGAAAAAAAATAAAATGAGTTTATCTCATTGTGGCAGGTTGAAAAAAACATCTGAGGTGAAGTTTATTTATGTTCAGCATCTAAGGGTTGACGAAAGTGAGTCGGGGTCTGGATATCCGAATATGTAATCAGAGTTTCAGTATTTTGAGTTTGATTTTTTCGATGAAGGTAAGAATTGTTTGAGAGAATAACGATATTCTATAAAGGTTGACGAAAGTAAATCGGGGTTGGGGAATCCGAATCTGAAGTCAGATTCTCACAATTTTGAGTTGAATTTTTTCGGTGGAGGCGAGATTTTTTTGAGACAATAACAATTTTTGCTCGACTATAGGGAGGGTCATATGAAAAAAATTAAAAAGATTTTGCGTGTCTGTCTGTGTGCCGCAAGGTCAAAAAAAATATCAGAGGTGAAGTTTATTTAGGCGTAACTTCTAAATTCTCACTAAAGGTAATCGAGGTCGAGAAATCTGAATCCGAGGTTGGATTTTACGTCCGTTCTTCTCATTGGCTAGGAAGCCGACCAATCAGAAACGATGTTGTTTAGTTTAAGGTTTTTCTACCTTTTGATGAAACTTTACTATAGGATACAGAGGGCCAGGATTCTGAATCCCAGGTCAGATTTTGCATCCAGCCTTCGCATTGGATACCATGCTGACTAATCGGAAATGAGCTTTTTTAGTTTGAGGTTTTTCGGACCTTTTGATAAAACTCGGTAGTAGGTTATCGACATCCAAGAATACGAATTTGAAGTCGGCTTTTCGATTTGGATCTTTCATTTGGCAGAAAATGAACCAATCCGAAACGAGAGTTTTTCTCTCGACTCTAAGAAGGATCATATGAAATAAAATGAGTTTGTAATGTGACAGTCATTGGAAGAGTTTCGCATTCAGATGTGTTAGTGTGATTACAGGTTTGATAATCGGAGTAACATCAATTATATATGAAGTTTTATCAGGCCGCCAGTTGAGCCAATTCAATATGTTCGGTGTTTGGCTATGAATCTGTCAAGTTTTATTCGACTAGCAGTAATTTAATGTGTTCCCGTTTCTTTGCTTACGAGCTGGTGTGGTCAGGGAGGGTTAATGTGTAATTCGCACATTTTCTGTGTTGCTAATGTGCAATCAGTGATTTTATTAGATGGTGTGCGTTCGACCTCAGGTGATGAATTGCATCAGATCAGCTTTATTGTAAGTTGTCCCGTCTAGATGTGGTTCTTGAAATAGATATGTGGCAGAGAAAAATAAAACGTGTAGAATTGGATTCACGCAAAAACACATTTAGGGTCCTACCAACATTCGCATCCACGCTGACACGTACGTCTGAAACTCAAAGCCTAGTTTTAGTCGATCCGACATTATCGGTATTTAAACCTACTCGTATTATATTTTGTTCTGGTTAAGTATTCAATTATTCGCATATTTTTTCAGATGTTCTGACTTGTGTAGTTTCTATATAATCACTATAACTCGAAGAAGCTAATATAAAAAGATATTTGTTAATGAGGTCATAACCTTTATGATAAATGTAGAAAAAATCAACTATTGTTTTAATATATTCAAATAATGGAACGACTAGCCGTGAGTGGCGCCGCGAAGGGACGCCGACGAACGGCTAATCGCTAATATTGCAAGCGCACTCTAAATTCGCTTCAGAAAAGATATATGTGAAAGCTAGGCTTATTGAGAATACTAGACTAAGATTCTATTAATCGGGAATTCTAATAAAACTCTGTCTTTTGAGCTAGACAGCTAGGTTGAAGAAATAAGGAATAGTTCATAACAAAGTGCCGGTTCGAGGCTGCCAATCGAGAATTCTCGTGTTTTAAATCTAAGGATTTTTCGAAGTAAGAGCAGACTGGAATTTGATAGGGTGTAAGTCAAAGATGATGATCTTATGGGAGAACATGATTACACGTGTCAGCGGCTAGCCGCGAGTGGCGTCCCTCCGGGGCACTGGCGAGCGACTAGCCGCTGCACTTGAAAATTCCCTGAAGGAAGGCGTCAAGGTGTTAGGATTCAGCAGAAAAATGTCAACGGTCCAGATCTGATGGGCTTCAATAGGGACCAGAATTGGCAAATAACTGAGAAATATTTTCAAGTTAAATATGAAAACAGTTTTTCTGTACGAGCACAATATCTGAATAGTATATTAGACGGAAAGCATTACTCAAAGAATTTATATTCACTCTATCGGAAATAAAATTGAATGAAATGAAATGAATTCTTCTGTTGGTATGTGTTCTTGTTGGTTTAGAAACTATATTTTCTTAACTATATATTGTCAGCTAATACAATATATATTGGCTTTAGATTGTGTCTAAACGTATGAAAAAGAAGAAAGTGATAGTGAATAGTGCGAGTTTTTCCAATTTTATGACGATAGTTATGAATGAAGTGATTTTTTTGTCGTTATCACGGAGCGTTTCGGGCTATTCATGAATTAAATGCAAAGGATATGAGTGAATATGTTACTGAAATTGGTCCTATTTGATAATTATAAGAATGCTCCGTTAATTTGTCTCCGTTCTCTCTATTATTCAAACAGACACCGGAGCCATTTTTCGTGCATAGATAGCTCTTAGTATGCTTTCAAAAATTGCAAAGACACGCAGATTGGGAATGCTTTGACAACATCTTTCAAATCTCCAAGAGATCGAAGTCATTCGCACCTTGAAATCTTATATGTTTGGTATAAAAATACCATTGTGATTTCATTAAGAGGAGCTGCCCCAGCATTTCGAATCTCCGTATCTTTGCAGCTTTTAAAAGCATAGTAAAAGCCATCTATGCACAAAGAATGGCATTTGTGTCGTTGGAAATGATGGAGAAAAGGGATAAAAATTAGCTGGGTTTTCTTATCATTGTCAAATAGGATTGATTTCGCGAGCATATCTATCACCGTTCTTCGATATGGTTAAATCTATGATCTGAGAAAACGTATGCATAGATAGGCGAGAGTCTTAAACTGGGATGTGACAATAAATTGTAATGTATTATTATTATTATGAAAAAACCATACTTCTAACCTTGTATATTTTCTCAGATGTTCTGACTTGTGGAATTTCTAGCTGTTATAACGCGAAGAAAGTAATATAAAAAGATATATGTAAATGAGGTCATATCTTTTAGGTAAAATGGGCAACAAACAACTATTGCTTAAGTGCACTAATGTAAAAGGAGCGACTAGCCGTCAGTGGTGCTCCGGAGGAGCGCTGATGAACGACTAGTCGCTCATATTGCAAGCATACTGCAGACTCCCCTCACAAAAGATCTGTGTAAAAGCTAAAGTGTTTCGAGAATACTGCACTAATATTTTCTTAATGAGGAATTTCAATAAAACTCTGATTCTCCAGTTAGACAATGAAATTGAAGAAATAAGGAATAGTTCACAACAAAGCTTCGGTTTAGAAATTCCCGTCGAGAATTCACGTGGTAGAGATCTAACGATTTTTAGAGGTAAGTCGAGTCTGGGATTAGGTGGACTGTAAATAAAAAAGGATGGTCGTATGGAGGAATAGAATTAAACATAGCAGCGGCTAGCAGCAGTGGACAATTGGAGCAATCGGTCGGGAAATTGTTCCCATTTGAGGAGAAATGGTTCACCCTACAAAAAGTCACACGTATCAAGGAGAAATGGAAAAAAGAATATAAACATATATTTATTGCGTTTAATTTGCCATAAAGAAATACTTCAGCGAGAAGAAACAGAATGAAAGAAAACAAGCATATATCTACCAATCTCCACGCCCTATTTTTCATTTTTCACTTCTGCTTAGTAAGGTTAAAATGGATGAAGGATTTCTGCTAGAAATATTTACATTTCTGCTGGAGAAAATCCATTTCTAGTAGATTTTCTCCTTATAGTGGAAAATAATTTTATTCATTTCTCCGCATACTGTAAGAATAATCTGATCGATTTCTTCTTACATCTTATACACTTCATCTTTTGAGGGTAGACATGGTTTATGCGTTTCTAATTGAAAATATTTAGTGGCAGGTTGTGTTTCGCTATAAAAACCATTTCTGCTATAAGTGAAACAATTTCTCGACTCTGCGGGATATTGTCCAGCCCTCGTGATTAGCCACGAGTGGTGCCATGGTGAGGCGCCGAAGAGCGACTAGCCGCTGCGCTTCAAAATTCCCTGAAGAACCGCTTCAAACTGCTGGGATTCATCGGATAAACGTCAACAGTCGAGATCTAATGGATTTGAATAGGGACTAGAAGTGGCAAACAACTGAGAAATATTTTGAAATAAAGTGTGACAAAGGCTTTTCTGTATGTGTGCAATATTTGAATAGTACATTTGACCAAAAAACATTATTCAAAGAATTTATATTCGCTTTATCGGAGGTACATATGAATGAAATAAAAGGAAGCTTTTCTGTTGGTATGTGATCTTGTCTGTGTTCATTCATGCGTCGGAATGTATACAGGTATATTTATATTACCTGTCTAGTCTGACGACTACCTTCGGTAGGAGCTTCTTTCAAGTAGAGTAATCCGATTATTGATCACATCAAATATGATTTCTTTTACGCTAGAAGTTCAGTTAAACTCATCTTTTTCTACCGAACACTGTAGTAAACAACAATGTAGGCTGATGTGCTATTAAGCATATGGATTTTTCGCAGAATTTTCAAGAACCATGCCGAGATATCACAACAGTGTCGCGAATGCGTTTTGGTTCGTAACCTCTCAGAAAATTGAATATACTATCTTTTCTCTGGTCCGCACGGATATTGCTGCCATAATGTAGTTCATTTACATATCCGTTGACTATCAATGTATGGGTATCAATTTCATTAGATAAATTTATCACAATAATCATCGCACGGAGCTGCGTACCATTGTACACAATGAGGTTCAGGCTAATATCAAAGTCTACATACCTACACACTCAGCCTTTTGAAACATTCGATACTAGCTTTGTTGAAAACAGTAAAGCGTCTTTAACATCGAAAGAGCCGAATATTCAGTCGAGGGTCAAGCCAGTCACAGGAATGAGCAAAACTTCTTGAATATCTTCGTTATTATAGGTACAACGAGCATTGGTCGTGAATCAACGGAAACAATTCCCATAGGTGCCACCATGCCTGGTGAAACGGAAACTACAATTATATCAATTTCAGCAGAAAGTGTTTCCACAATTGGATATGTCCCAGAAACATCAGCAGCAAGTGAAACTATTGCTACCAGCACTGCGAAAATAACAATACCAGCTGCAACTTCATCTGAAAGTAGCGAGGAAACAGTCTCACTGAGTAGCACTAGTACGTCAAAAATGCAAGAAACAACGATGAAAAAGTTCTGCGAACATATGGAGTACATAGAAACTTTAATTGGAAGTAATGCTGTTACTACTTCACCAGAGGACATCTCAAACAAAAATGATTTGATCTCACGTGGAGTGGACTTTGTTGACAAGAATCCAAGAATTATCATCAATATACCAAAGGACGGTGCAATCATTCGAGATATCAAAGTTCCATCGGCTAATCTCAATGAAGTTACTGTGATATTCACAACCATTTTAGGCGTTGTCGTTGGTCCCATACTGGGAAGTCCAACTAGTCTACCAGCAGACGAGTTTCCGACAGAGAGGGTCGCCAAAATTATCATCGACTTGACATCGACTATGCAAGACAGTCCACCTAAGGGTGTGACTTTGTCAATTGTTGCTTGTGCTCCTGGTACAACAACAGCCATGACAGAAGGTAATATTATTGCGCTCTCTCCTTTGTCAGGCACGGCGCCCTAATAAATATAGAAATAGTATTGAATATCTACGTTTATTCTAGGTACAACGAGCATTGGTCGTGAATCAACGGAAACAATTCCCATAGGTGCCACCATGCCTGGTGAAACGGAAACTACAATTATATCAATTTCAGCAGAAAGTGTTTCCACAATTGGATATGTCCCAGAAACATCAGCAGCAAGTGAAACTATTGCTACCAGCACTGCGAAAATAACAATACCAGCTGCAACTTCATCTGAAAGTAGCGAGGAAACAGTCTCACTGAGTAGCACTAGTACGTCAAAAATGCAAGAAACAACGATGAAAAAGTTCTGCGAACATATGGAGTACATAGAAACTTTAATTGGAAGTAATGCTGTTACTACTTCACCAGAGGACATCTCAAACAAAAATGATTTGATCTCACGTGGAGTGGACTTTGTTGACAAGAATCCAAGAATTATCATCAATATACCAAAGGACGGTGCAATCATTCGAGATATCAAAGTTCCATCGGCTAATCTCAATGAAGTTACTGTGATATTCACAACCATCTTCGGCGTTGTCGTTGGTCCGATACAGGGAAGTCCAACTGATTTATCAGCAGACAAGTTTCCGATAGAAAGGGTCGCCAAAATTATCATCGACTTGACATCGACTATGCACGACAGTCCACCTAAGGGTGTGACTTTGTCAATTGTGGCCTGTGCTCCTGGTACAACAACAGTCAAGCCAGAAGGTAATATTCGATTGTTTCTTTCGATTTTAGACGAACCATTGTCAGTAAGGAAGGATATGCTTAGGAGTCCTCTGTAGGCAGAAAATCGGGATTGTTCGATGAAACTTTCGAATCTGATGAGTTGTTCGATATTTATTCAGGCGCTATTGGAGAAGATAGGAGAAAAGATGGAGCGCTATGTTTCTTTGTTTTCGACTAATATCGGGCATGGGAATATGAAGATTGGACTGTTATGGAAGTCAACATCTTCATTGAGGTTGGTGTTGTGCGGGTGAATTTTTTTTGTTTGGTGAGGCATATCAGGATGCAAGCTTTAACCTGGAAAGTTTTGTTTAGATGTCTGTTTTCCTTACGAGAACATGATGAAAAATTCTAATGTGTTGAACTACTCTCAGTACTGATACCCTATTGTTAATAGTACTCTGTGAAATGAAAATCTGGAAAGGGTTATTGGATAAATGAAATAGTGTCATGGCCTACGTCTTTACATACTCTTTGAAAGAGAGGAAAACATATTGGTTTGAATAAATCTCGTTCTAGCATTCTGGAGTGCTTGATCGGAAAAAGCATTAACCGAGCAAAAAGGAAAAACGACTTTTTCTGTTTTTGCCGAAAACCGCTCATTTCTTGAAGTTTAGTGACAGAAATCATAAAAAGATTCCGCGAAAAGAAAGTTTCGAATGAATAGTCTTGGTATTATTTTTGGTTAAGATCAGGTCACGGTTTGTCTTTCGTTGTATGTATCTCGATTTGCAGCATTCGTACGAATACCAAGTTTTTTGACGTACTAGTGCTACTCAGTGAGACTGTTTCCTCGCTACTTTCAGATGAAGTTGCAGCTGGTATTGTTATTTTCGCAGTACTGGTAGCAATAGTTTCACTTGCTGCTGATGTTTCTGGGACATATCCAATTGTGGAAACACTTTCTGCTGAAATTGATATAATTGTAGTTTCCGTTTCACCAGGCATGGNGAAAAGGTTTGCCAAGCTAATTTGTATATCCACACATTCTAGGATGACTGATTTGTCTCATTCACTTTTTGAAGTACACATAACTCTCGGACTTAAGTCCGAGGTTTCCGCATTTATTTTTAGACGGTGTGGGTTCGACCTTAGTTGATGAGTTGCATCAGATCAGCTTTATTGTAAATTGTCCTATCTAGATGTGGTTCTCGAAGAAGATATGTGCCAGTGAATAATATAACGTATAGAATTGCATTCACGCAAAAAACGCATTTAGGATCCCACCAACATTCGAATCCACGCCGACAAGTACTTCTGAAACTCAAAGGCAAGTTTTAATTGATCTTACATTATTGCTATTTAAGTCTACTCTCAGTATGTTTTATTCTGATTAAGTATTCAATTATTTGTATATTTTGACAAGAGTTTTGACTCTTCTAATTTCTATATTGTCACTATGACTCGAAGAAGCTAATATAAAAGAAAATATTTGTAAATGAGGTCACAACCTTTATGGTAAGTGTAGAATAACCAACTATTGTTTTAATGTATTCAAATAATGTAGCGACTAACCGTGAGCAGCAACCCGGAAGGACATCGATGAACGACTGGTCGCTGATATTGCAAGTGCACTCTAATTTCGCTTGAGAAAAGATCTATGCGAAAGATACGTTTATTAAGAATACTGGACTAAGATTCTCTTAATCAGGAATTCTAATAAAACTCTGACTTTCCAGGCAGACCATTAGGTTGAAGAAATAAGGAATAGTTAATAACAAAGTGCAGGTTCGGGACTGTTCATCGAAAATTCTCGTGTTATAAATCTAACGATTTTTCGAAGTAAGAGTAGCTTGGAATTTGATAGGATGTAAATCAAAGAGGATGATCTTATGGGAGAATAGGGTTACACGTGGCAGCGGCTAGTCGCGAGTGGCGTCCCGAAAGGGTAATGACGAGCAACTTGCCGCTGCACTGGAAAATTCCCTCAGGGAAGGCGTCAAGATGTTAGGATTTATCGGAAAAATGTTAACGGCCTAGATCTGATGGATTTCAATAGGAACCAGAAGTAACGGAAAACTGAGGAGTATTTTCAAGTTAAGTATGAAAGCAGTTTTTCTGTAGGGGCACAATATCTGAATAGTACATTAGACGGAAACCATTATTCAAAAAAATTATATTCACTCTATCGAACGCAAAATTGAATGAAAGACAATGAATTTTTCTGTTGGTATGTGTCCTTATTGGTTTAGAAACCGTATTTTCTTTATTATATTGTCAGCTAATACATTATATGTTGGCTTTAGATTGTGTCTAAATCTATGAAAAAGAAGAAAGTGGTAATGGATAATGCAACTTTGTCCAATTTTATGAAAATAGTTATGAATTAAGTGACTTTTTGTCGTTACCACGGAGTGTTTTTCGCTTTTCATGAATTAAATACAAAGGATAGGAGTAAATATGCTACTGAAATCACTCCTATCTGATAATTATAAGAAAGTTCCGCTAATTTGTATCTGTTCTCTCTATTATTCGAACAGACACCGAAGCCATTTTTTGTGCACAGATGGCTCTTAGTGTGCCTTCAAAAATTGCAAACACACGCAGCTTGGGAATGCTTTGACAACATCTTTCAAATCAAGTTTTTAATAATGGGGCGTAAAAATATGGTTTTTCATTTATTAAGAAAACTAACTAAAAAACATAGAGATCAAGTTTCAATTGAATACATAAGTTGTTTGTGAATTTTCGAACCTAGAGAAGTTCATGATCAGACATAACATAATCAATATAATTTCATAAATCATTATAACTATTACTAAACCAATAGTAGAGCCAATAAACCAAGTAATAATGCTAGAATGTGCAGTTTTCGTAATAAATAAAAACACTTATTGTTATTCTACACTATTAAAAACTTGATTGTTTATTAATATGCTACACTTATTTGAATTATCTACAACAGCAGCACATTCTAACATTATTATTTCGTTTATTGATTCTACTCTTCGTTCAGTAATAGTTATGGTGATTTATGAAATTATATGGATTATGTTATGTCTGATGATTAGAGATCTGCAAAGTAGTTACGAGTCACGGTCATGGTCACGCGTGACCGTGACCGTGATCGTGTTCGTGATGAAGTCTCTCGCGATCATAACTATGACTAAGATCAAAACTATGCAAAAATCCAAGGCTTTTGTGAAACTTTTACAACTTTTGCCAAAAGATCGCGGCTAATGGATGAACTGTAGCCAGTTTTGATGATATTAGTGCTTAGGAAACCTTCTTCAAAAGCTTTATTAGTGTGGCTGTAGCTAAATTCGAAAAATCCTCGTGATCGTGACCGTGACCGTGCCATGACCGTGACCAGTGCGTCGTGACTACGGCGTCAACGTAATCGAAAAATCATGGTCACGCAGGTCTCTACTGATGATGAGCTGCTCTAGGTTCGAAAATTCATAAACAGCTTATGTATTCAATTGAAACTTGATCTCTATGTTTTTTAATAAGTTTTCTTAATAAATAAAAAAAACATATTGTTACGCTCCATTATTAAAAACTTGACTTTTTATTAATATGCTACACATATTTGAATCTTTCAAATCTCCAAGAGATTGAAGTAATTCGTACCTTGAAATCCTATATGTTTGGTATAGAAATTCCATTGTGATTTGATTAAGAGGTGTTGCCAAAGCATTTTAAATCTCCGCATCTTAGCATCTTTTAAAGGCATAGTAAAAGCCATCTATGTACAAAGAATGGCATCGGTGTTCTTTGAAATGATGGAGAAAATGGATAAAAATTAGCTGAGTTTTCTTATAATGTTCAAACAGGACTGATTTTGCGAGCGTATCTACCACGGTTCTTTCATATGCTTAAATCTATGAGCTGAGGAAAAGTATGTAGAGATAGGTGAGGGTCTTAAACTGGGATGTGGCAATAAATTGTAATGCATTATTATTATGAAAAATCCATATTTTTAACCTTGTATATGTTTTCAGGAATTCTGACTCATGGAATTTCTAGCTGCTATAACTCGAAGAAAGTAATATAAAAAGATATATGTAAATGAGGTCATATCTTTTATGTTAAATGGACAGTAAACAATTATTGCTTAAGTGCGTTGATATAAAAGGAGCGACTAGCGGTGAGTGGCGCCCTGGAGGGGTGTCGACGAACGACTAGTCGCTCATATTCGAAGCGTACTGCAGACTTACCTCACAAAAGATCTGTGTAAAAGCTAGATTTTTTGAGAATACTACTAATATTTCCTTAATGAGGAATTTTAATAAAACTCTGATTTTCCTGTTAGACAATGAAATTGAAGAAATCAGGAATCGTTCACAACAAAGCTACGGCTTAGAAATTCTCGTCGAAAATTCTCGTGCTATAGATTTAGCGATTTTTCGAAGTAAGCCCAGTCTGAGATTAGGTGGAATGTAAATAAAAAAGGATGATCTTTTGGAGGAATAGAATTAAACATAGCAGCGACTAGCCACTACGCTGGAAAATTCCCTGAAGGGACGCTTCAATTTATTGGAATTCATCGGATAAATGGCAGCAGTCGAGATCTAAAGAGTTTCAATAGGGACTAGAAGTGGCAAAGAACTGAGAAATATTTTGAAATAAAGTATGACAGCGACTTTTCTGCACGCGCACAATATTTGAATAGTACATTTGACGGAAAACATCACTCAAAGAATTGATATTCGCTTTAACGGAAGTATATATGAATGAAAAGAAAGTGAGTTTTTCTGTTGGTATGTGTTTTTGTCTGTGTTCATTCACGTGTCGGAATGTATACGGATATATTCACATTACCTGTCTAGTCTAACGGCTGCTTTGAGTAGGAGCTTTCTTTCAAGTATGGTATTCCGCTTACAGATCAGATCTAATATGATTTATTGTAAGTGAGAAGTTCAGCTAAGCTTCTATTTTTCTAGCGGACACTAGTAAACAACATTGTCGGCAGATATGCTAGTAAGCATACGGATTTCTAGTAGAATTTTCAAAGAGTATGGCACGTTCTCACAATAATGTCGCGAATGCATTTTGCTTCGTGACCTTTCAGAAAATTGAATATAATCTTTTTTTTCGGACACATGCGAATACCGCTATCATAGTGTAGTTCTTTAGATTTCTGTCGAGTATCAATATCTGGGTATTAATTTGACTATATGAGTTTATGAAGAAAATCATCACACGAATTCGCATAGCATTGTGCACAACGAGATTATGGCTAATATCAACGTACGTACACATACCCGCCCTTTTGAACCGTTGAATATTAGTTTTGTTGAAGACTGTAAAGCAGTATATAACACGAAAAGAGCCGAATATCCAGTCAAGGCTCAAGCGAATCACACCGACGAGCGTTACGTGTATTAAATCAAAACTCGTTCTCGATTAGCAACACACTGACTTTTTTTAGACTACTATCAATAGCAGAAGAGGAAGACCTGATTTGAGTCTGATTACATTATCATTTAGAAACAAACATGTTCTCTCTTTGATATCCTACAATTGTCAACAATTTTCCTGAGAAAAAATGTCACTTTTGACATAGAGCAAAAGGTTCACTGAGTTTATTGATAGCTTTTTCATCAGCGTTTTGCCTGTCTCTTCACATGTCGAAGCACTATGTCTTCTTCGTGGTATTGAACGAAATAAGAAACAAAAAAGAGGTTCAATTTTATTGCAGAAATATGCATTCCTCTAGTCAGCATATGTGCTGATCAGAATTATTAGTATTCGATGGGCCATCTATAGGTGTGCATAGAGTAAAGATTGATGAATCTAGAATGTGTAAATTTATCATCGTATTCAATGTTCGAATGAAAAAAGAAACGAAAATCTTTTTATCATACATCAAATGAAATCGTTAACTATTTTATTGATTGTCGTTTTGAATTCACAGTAGCTGTTTCATTGAGTTCGACATAGCAAACGAATACATTGTGGACGATTACTACTAATATGGAAGGGATGAACTGAAATCTAAATCC